TTTGTGGCACTAGAAAATCCCCACCAAACAAAACCTTCCCTACTTTTACATGCGTGGGAAAATGGCAGTGACATCTATAGATATTGGATATGCCTCTGTGTTGGGAATGTGCTCCGTTTAAGGCCTTAAGGCGACTTAAGGCGACTTAAGGTCCCAGAGTTTGCCTACTCCTAGCCGCTTCATCGTACAAAAATCGGGATAAGCTCCGGCATCTATGAGCCAGTCGGCTCCAAGGCTTCACTTTTTTCATTTCAAGCCCAGTTGCAGCAACCATTGTGATATGTTGGGAAATAATGATCGAGAAATCGCAAAATAATCAACAAAGTTCTTGAGCTTTGCACCTTCGAAGATAAACACTTAGCAGTAAAATTCGGGAAATTATGTAACTCGGATTAATTCTACGCAAGGTGAAAATGGATGTCCAAGGCACAATGGACTCAAACGATTGTAAAGTCAGGAATGACAATGTATTCGAGAAGAGGGTCACAGATCCAGCAGATTTAGAGGAAGGGGAGGAAATCTTGCACAATATTGAAATGAAGGTGACAGACGCAACTGATTCAGGAGATGGGAGAGCTCTCAAGGAACAAGTCACCGTTTTGGAAATGAAAACATTCAAGAGATATTCCCTTTCGTTGTCTCAGTATGACCGCTTGGAGGAGGCCACTGAAGAAGACCCCTTGAAAATCCTTTGTGTTGGAGGCTGCACAGGAAGCGTGCTATCTAAGGGCATATTCATCAAGGGAACGGTCTACTTCGACCGGACCGGTCGGATTTCGATCCGGACCGATCGGATCGCGCCCTGGGATGCGATCCATTCAACCAAAATGCCCGGAAATTTCGGTCTAAAACTGGAAGGATCGGTTCGGTCCAACCGGAAAAATTTCGAAAACATCGGTCCACTTCTCTCGGTTGGACCGGTCCGATCGAAGTGGACCGTTCCATTTGACCATTCCGACCCATTCTCAATCCCAGTCTCAAGTAGTTTAAGGCCTGGGTCAAAGGCTTTCACTGGTGAAAATAACTTATTAATTATATTTCTGAAGGTATAAATGGCAATGGAACCAGATTTAGCACACAGTTAGGTTTTGGCGTCCTGAAAATTTTAAAGTAGAGTTGGTGCTTCTGACAGGTCGCGTGACATGTGACGTGACGTTGACCGGAAAATAGCCATTATTTGAGGAATTGGTGGCGGTTTTTAGTAATAACATCCTGCAAAACGCGTTTTAGATGCAGGTCAATTATTTCCATCCTCTCACGTTTGGAATGACCGTCCCTCTTTTCACAGAAAAAATTTATAGGGTGAATGGTCCTTTTTTTCAGCAAAATTTGACTTCTAATCATTTATATCTTCTATAAACGAAGTCAAGGGAGATCATTCCAAACGTAGCAAGGTAGATAATTTACTGAAATTTGCATCCTAAACGCTCATTTATTGATCAAAAGAATGAAAATTCGCCACCAATTCGCCGATTTATCAAATTTTAACAAAATGATCACGTGACATGCACGTGGTCACAATAATATGTTAAGGCAAGGCAGGACGTCGAGTTTTATTACAGGGAAAAGTTCAGCTTGGTAAAACAAATATAACAAGAGATATAGTTGCCCAACCGTAATTCTACTTTACATTCCTGACCCAGGCCTTAAACTGCTTGAGGTACCTCCCTGTTCGGTATTTCCCATGTACAACATGAAAGAAAACACTTATCATTGCAGCTTTTATGGATTGTTAACAGCGGATTTATCGGTATTACTCGTACATCCATGTGCAGTTACAACAGGTCTGTAGCTGCTTCGCAAGCCAAGTGTTAAGTGTTAAGTGTTTTGGCTGTTAACGGCTCTTAAAGACGATTTACTAGTATTTCCCCAGAGAATTCGGAATGGTCTTTTCGTCATTCGAAAGTGGTTTTGAACTCATACGGCAAATAGCTGGGAACGGTCTGCTCAAAATAACCCGTTATATACTGGTTAAATTACCACGCATGAAACAGCTCACACGGTATCATTGGTATCACCGTCGAAATCGTCATCTAGCTCTAAATACAAGCAACAGCGATCCAACATCCTCCATTTTAAATGAGCGCGAATCTCTTTTTACGAGTGGAATAGAACGAGACTGTCCGGACCCTTCGCGATCCATTCGACCCCAAGAAATTTTCTCACCTCAGCCCGGAAATTTTGGTTGAATGGATCGCGCCCATATGCCTTACATATGTTAATACCCTCTCCATAAAATTTGATAAGAAAGCTCATTCACTTAACAAGAAGTTGAGAATCGTGGTCAAATCCCGGCGGTCAAATGTTCTCCTCCAATCTCTCGTTCGAAGCAAGCACGTGGAAAAGTTTCCAAGTTGAACGATCGATAGGCATTGTGGGATATTTGTCCTTTACCTTCCCCTACCCTCCTTCAGCACAGGGACTCTATTTTACTGTATTTCTAGCCTGCAATGCAGGCGTATTTTTGGACCCTTTTTGGGATGGACCTTAGTTTATATCAATGAGTCCAACCATTTTTCACAATTTCACCCACCTCCATGTACCTTCATTAATCTTTATACACCTCCATCGACCCTCATCTACCTATATACACCTTCATGCACCTTCATCCACCGACATCTACCTTCAGACACCTTCATCTACCTTCATTGACCCTCAGGCACCTTTCATCCGACCCTCATCTACTTTCATCCACCTTCATACACCTACAACTACCTTTATAAACCTACAGAAAACCTCTTCTCCATTAATCCTTCTAGCGCAGTTCTACACCTTCTCTCACGAGTAACGTGTGTACCAGCTTAGCCACTTTTTAGATAGCCTCTATATTCGGAGGAGGTTATATTCACACACGAGGTTACTGTCTCGGCTTAGATAAGTTTTATTTCAGTTTTCTCCATCAATACATCACAATGTACGATATAATTATTACAGTCATGATTCAATTTGATATTTACAGGTCATAAAGGATTTTTTCATCAATTATATCTTAAAAATGTCTCCCAGGTTATAGTCATTGTGCGTCTTTCTCTCGACAGCCCTCTTGCCCCAACTTACTAATAAATTTTACTCAGTAAAACCAAGGATAAATGAACCCTATTTACATGTAAAATAAATATTTATAAATAAATATTTATAAATACCAATGATACATACTAATGACGAGTACTAACCCAGTTCAAATAAATAGCAAACTAGTTGTGACTTTGGAAATACTAACTTTAGAAAAACGACTGATCGCCATCATCGTTGAAGAGCGATACTGAGGTAACATGTAACATGGCCCGCATGTTATGTCAACATGTTAAGCAAAATTTTCATACGAAGGACATATAATAAAATGTTTCCATTCAATGAATAAGATAAGAATTGAAAGTTCGTGAAAAAATCACTCTGAAAGAATTGTTTTTAGTAGTCACGTTTCATTTGTACTCATTCAAAAGGATAGATACATCTTCCAGTTAGCCAGGAGTACAGTAAATCATAATCGTTCGCAGTCATAATCTGCAAACAGTCTCCTGGCAAGCCCCGATCTCCGGTGAGCCCCGATCGCTTCGCTCTCCGATTTCTCCTGTTTCGCGCTCGCCGAAATTTTTTCCGTCCTCGCCGGGAGCCTGTTCGCAGGCTACCAGTCTTGAGCCCTTGTGGCTTATTGTCCCACCTAATAGTAAACTGTTAATTTTGACAATTATTTACATTAGGAGGCCATTTTGCATAAAGCAAAAAACAGAAAGAAAAACAATTTCAAGGCCAAGTGCATGTACATAGAAATATTATTGGACTTGTAAATTCCGTCCCTTCTAAAAGCTAACGTCCATTTTCATCATTTTGCATTCTGTTAAAATACGAATTAGTAACCCTTACCACAGCCAACTGCAATTCGTTACAACTAAATAAGTTAAAAACCCTCATCTGATAATTGAATCATATGAATTATTTTTGCCTCACTTTGATTTTTTCATAAGATTTTCTGTTAATATTCATTTAAAATTAGAATGATCATAACATTTGCTTTTTGTATCATTTTCCAGTAAAAGAGATGTAAGTTTGTATAAACATGAATAGGGTGAAAATTCCATTTGTTACTTTTACGTCGATACTATTTAACGGTACACCAGAGTTACTGAAGGGCTCTTGCAAACTGAAGAGCATTGGCCATCTGTTTTTCGCTGTCAGCTTGAAACATTTTGTCATCTTTACAAACAACTAATCAGCGGTTTCGTTCTATTTTAACGCCTTAAACAGCTTGACCCAGCTACTCAATGACCTAACTACGTGCAGTTTCAACATCTTATCACAAAAGTGTCGCAGCTCTCGTAAGCTTGTAATGAACCATCTCCCAGTTGCCTTTAGCCTCGGTGTCAAAACGAGTCTTCGTGCGAAACCATCCATATGAAAATGTGTTTTCCCTACAAGTTCATTTTCGTGAAAATCAAACTCATTTTCATCTGAAAGATTTTGCACGAAGACTCATTTTGAAACAGAGGCACAAGGTATCTCGAAAATGGCCTAGTTTTGCTTGTTAGCAGCTGGTATTGTTTTAGGGATGGGAACATTGTTTTTGCTGTTTGTTCCATTGTCCTCTCAAAGGGTATCAAGCCATTCATGCGAGACCTTAACAGAGTCCTATCGCTATAATAAAAGAGAGAAAAAGTCGGAATATGAGAAACCACTTGCGTAATGCGTGTGTATGTACTGAAGAAAGAATATTAATAAGGTTCTATGCAACTTCCTTTCTAATACTACTACCGTGCGTATGTTAGAGATTAACGCATTGAATTAAGAATTACTGGAGACATGACAAACTCCGTTACATTGAGAGTAGTCACGGCTAGGACCAGCGGTATGGTCTTGAGGAGCAGGCTTGTGCTGCCTTTCCAGCGCCCACTGCATGGCCCAGATACTCAGCGGTCTCATGTAAGCTAGTGAGCGAAAGTTGCCATTAGCAACAATCGCCTCTGGAGTCTGGAAACCCATCCCCAGTCTCTCGAAACACGTGTTGTAAATACCGCTGGCTGTTTTGAAGCCCTCTTCAACTAGACCCTACAAGAAAGAGACAAACGTTTGCTCCTTTCTTTTCTGCCGACACCAACTAAAAATAAACATTTCAAAAAGAAAGGTGAGGGTTTTTTTCGGGAAGAAGTTGGTGAATAAACGTGAATATCAAAGGTAAATATCCATTGACTAAGATCACTGTGAAACCCAGTGACCGAATGACGTAGACCAAAGTGAGAAGAGAGTTTCACTAAAAGGTACTGAAACAGGAAATAACCAAGAACGTTGGCTATATTCTTTAAATTTAATGCACTTTAGTATATGTTGTTGAAAACCAAGCAGAACAACAAATTTAGTTAAAGGAGCTACATCACAGTTTGCACATCTCAAGTTCGTCGTTTGTAATCCATGTTAATCTTCTCCATCCTTAAACCATCCTTGTTCTTGTAAAGCTTGTTATTATCTCTTTGGTCTTTTTCTATCTAAGTACACTACTATTTTCAGGTTTTCTTCCATTTAAAGGTAATTTTGCACGTGGCCAAAATAACTCAAAAGACAGTGACTGAGCTCCTTTAACAAATGAACAAGCCAAAGTTATGAATCACACTAAGACAAGATGTGACTAGCATGTGACAACAGGAGAGACATATAGAACAAAAACGTGATTTAGATTTCTTAGTTTCCCTCTGTTATATCCTGATGAAACATGATTGTTTCGCCAACTGGTACGTGCACAGAATGCAGTTTCTGTAACGTAACTCTGTCTCAAAGGGGGAATATGAAGAAGCAGTCAGTGTATGATTGATAAGTTATTCCTCTAGACACAGGATTATGACCGATTGTAGAGCAGGGACGGCTCGTGAGATGTTATTCACAGTACCTCTTGAATCATAGAAGCAGCCACAGCATACGTGATGCCTGTCCAGACTTCCTCGGCCTGTAAACTACTTGTGTCAACCTAAAACATATTCCATTGATTTATCAATGCCATTATTTAATTAACCATTAACCGCGCCATTATCTAATTAACCCCATATATGAAAGCTTTTGTGTGGATGTACAGTGTTTTTCGCTCCTCGATATGGGCCGTAACTGCTAAATAATAAGTATTGATATCAGAATTTTGTGATTGATATATAAGATGGGAAGTATCCTGGCACAGGATGCAGACAAAGTGAACATTATTTCATTGAAAGTACTGATTACATGTATGCCTGAGTTTCCCATTTGCAGAGCTCTATAACAAGTTAAAGGAAGTTGTGAAATGCACTGCAACGAATCAGAAAACGTGCTGGGTTTTTTTAAACCAATCAGGAGCAAACGCAACACTAAATATGGTGACTTGGCTTTTCAGCACGTTTTCCCGCGCTATGCACGGGTTGCATTTTCAACTGACTTCTGATTGGTTCGCTACGTTCTACACGTTTGTAACGGTTGGCAGTTGGTTTGGGTTTGTATCGACAGTCAGAGCAGTTTTCAATTTATTGTCGAAAGTAATCAGGCAATTACTTTGTTTTTGGTTTTGGTTTTACGAAGGTTTGAGATTGGGTGAGTAGTCTAATAAATTGGTTAGTAGTTGGTTTGGTTTTGGTTTTACGACGCTCAATTGAAAACCGTTCCAACGAAGTCAATGCGTTATAACAATATTCACGATCCTACCTGGCCGTTTGGTCTCATGCCATTCACAGCACCCATATTGCCATCCTGGAACTGAAGTACGTTATACTTGTACACGGTGGTGAGGGCGCTCAGCACATTCTCTCTTGGAAACACCTAAACATTATAATATAAGATATTAACTACGTTCACCACAAACCGAAAAAAGCGCGTGCTAAGAGCCGCACTAATTCCAAAGAAACACAGAACTAGTGGGAGCTGTCGACTTGATGAGATGGTGCGAGCAACGAGAAGTTACATTCTTGCAGTGCTTTCAGTCTAAAAGAGTATTTCTTAGACAGTAGCGTACAATTTCCAAATGTCAAAGTTGGACACTTAGCTATGATTACCCGATCACTGGGTGACTGTCCAAGTTCACACGCCTTGAGATACCACTGTCCTGCCATCTGATCAGCCATGATACTGTTGTGGTATTTATTAGTGCTGCTATCGTAGTTGTAGTATATTCCTGCAAAGTAATTCAATCAGAATTGGAATTCAACCAGTTTTGACTCCGTATAAAATGCTTAAACTTCCATAGCAATCTACACGAAGCAAGTACCGTTCAGTAACTGATACGAGTAGCATATACAACACCATTTACTAAAAGTTACGATTTCCTCCGAATTGTACGGGCAAAGACTGCTTGTTGAGTATAAGTAGCCACTCAGTTGTGTTCTACTGGAAATCCGCGAATCTGATCAATAGGTTCTCTGATCGTTTTCTATTTAACAATTAGTTTATGGGCTCAAGATTACTATCGCGTTTAAGTTGACTAGTGACCCATCAGGCCAGCGCTAAGATCTCCGCCCTCCGTAATATGAAGCGACCAGGAGTATTTCTACTCTCCCCTGAATGGGATGCCAGTCAATTATTCACTGACACCCATTTATACACTAAATGAGAGAGGTATTGAAAGGCATTGAGGGAGTAACGTGTCTTGCCCAAGAACACACCACAAAGACCCAGCAAGGGCTCGAACCAGGATTGCTCAATCTGGAGTCTAACAGCCATCGCGCCTTCTTCCACACTGTGTACACTAAAGAACGATTTAGAAACCAGTATAGAAAGATTACCATTCCACAAAAGCGCATGATAAGCCTTCTTTCCTCTTTTAAGTATGTTCACATATTTAGCAGCTTCGTCTGGGATTCCTAACACATTGGCTATTTCCTGCATGACCCTGAGAGATGCGAGCCACAATCCTCCACAATAAGCACTGGAAAGAAATCAGTGAACAATTTGAAACAACCCCAACAACAACAGCACAAAAAATCAATTCAGCTTCAGTCATATTAGTTTTATCGTTTTGTCTAAGATAAAAACAAAACAAAACAAAACAAAACAAAACAAAACAAAACAAAAACAAAAACAAAAACAAAACTAGTCATTGTAGAGCAAAGCAAAGTTGTGCAGGAGACGTTTTCTGTAAACGTTATTATAGCACATCCTAACAATGAAATTCAAGAGAGATACCTTGGGCCTGTGACAGGCCATGCATCAAAAGTCTGATCTGCAAAGCCAGAATTTTCTATCAAGCCATCACCATCTGTATCATACACTGCAGTCTTATTCATCACTGTCTGAAGAAAGTCAAAATATCCCACAAGATTAAAATCACTTTTAGCCACATTAAGTGCTGTGGGTAATAGTCTGTAGATAGTAACACACAATCGTGTGACTGAGAAATTGAAACTTTCACAGCCTCTTATAGTTATATTTTGCTCAGTTCTCACAAGTCTCCAGATCATGTACTGCTTCGTGGAAGGCCATAAGTTCGACTTTCGCTGGAAGAACGTGGAACTGTTTTTTTTTCGCTAGTAACTATTATCTTTCTCAAGACCATTAACTGCTGAACTGGTCTAATGGGTTATATAAGAATATGTTGCAGTGTACTGATGGCCAATTACATGCTACATATGAGTAGGAAAAATGGTTGAATAAGTAACTACAACTTCTAATATACAATGAAATCTTGTACAACAATTTACTTGAAGGTACCTTTGCAATGGGCCACATGTCCTTTAGATACTGAATGTCGTTCGTTGCCTTGTAGTCACGATACACCTGCAATTGGCGAGTCACTTGTCAAACTGCATGACGCGTTTATGAAAATAAAATCATAGACATACAAACCACAACGGAATCGTAACTGAGGAATTCAAACTTAGGGCAAACCTGAAGCACAAACTTGAGGTTAAGATCTTTCCACTGCGCTGTGTCATGGATGGTGTAGGCATTAACTTTTTCCCAAGGTTCCTCAGCTACAAATCAACAAATTAATCACAAAAAAGAAAACACTTAGATACCAAAGATTAAGTTTCTTATTCAAGCCTGAAAAACAAGCCTGTATTTAGCAACAGATCCTTGAAAGAACAAAACCTACCTGGATCTCCTACATCATGTGGTACATAGCCGGCTACTTTCCTCGGACAGTTGCGTCCATTCATCATTGTTAATGTGAGCTGACTGTCTGTCTGATTCACCACCTCAGCTGTGAGTTCAATACCGCAACAAAATTTATGAACACATTTTTAAAATAAATATACTGATTGTAATATCCTGATTACAAAGGTCTACCCTGTTCAAATTACTCAGTTTATTATATGACTGAGAAAATACTTCATTGTGATTGCCCAAGAACAGGCCAATTTATTCTTAATTTTTAATTTGCACTGCAGTGCAAATTAACGCGCACGCTTTTGTAAATCTCTCTGTCATATAATAAATTACTAATCGAATGAAAGCTCAAGGAATTAAGGATTTTCACTACTTAAGATATTTGAAAATTCTCTTAAATTACACTCGCCTAAGGGCTCATCCAATTTTGAGAGAATTTTTAAATTTCACTCGTAGTGAAAATCCTTACTTGCACTCGCATTCATACCATTATCTATACTAATTGTGGACTGCTCACTTTGACTCAGCTGTTTTACTAAACTAGCAGAGAGGACAGAAAACCTCTGGGACCAGAGTAATTGGAACACTAATCTTTATCTTTGCGGGGATTTCTTCATGTTCCATGGAAATGTTGGGCATTTTAAATCCTCATTGTATAACGAGTTAAGGTTAGGTTAGACTATAATGTGAACTGTCAGACACAACACCTTAAGGATCTAACCAAACGTCTACTGAAAACGTTTTCACTACCATGATAAAATGATTGAAGCATTCCAACCAAACATACCTGATTACATGTAAGTTACTATAGCAATAACATTGTTTTGAATTATTTAATCTGCACGAAACCAATAACTAATTGCCTAATATATAGAGGATATTACATGCCCGCGCGTGGATACGAATTTTATCTTCGAGTGTTCAACTCGATATCTCACGAGTGAGCTGCGCTCACTCGTGAGATATTGATATTGAGTTCGTATCCACAAGCGGGCATGTAATATTCTGTTTATTATATAAACATACTAATGACCACGTTTTTGACGATTTTCCACAGATTTCCGACCAAGAAGATTTCCAAAGATTTTCCAAAATTGTTCCGAAGGCCAGACGAATGCTTCCGAACATTTTCCGAACATTTCCCGAAGATAACCGGAGATGGCCGAAGACGACCGAAGAAGATCCGAAGATGTTTCGATCATACATCAACAAAGTTAAGTGTAGTTAAGGAGACAAAAGACAAAAATTATCAAAAAGAAATGATATCTTCACAGTGTGAAAAATGAAAATAATATCTTCACTACGCACGATGAAGATATGATTTTTTTAGTAAAAGGAAAACTCCTGGTATTTCACTGGTGTTTATATAATAAATGTCAATTCAATATGAGTATCAGTTTTGGCAAAGACATGCAAACTTAAGGCTTGGTGTAGCTGGATAATACTTTTGTACATAATAGTGTTGGGTTGTTTTTCAAAATTTAATGAGCCCCATCTTGGTCAAAACACACAAAGTTCTTAACATAAATAGCTCTGTCTCATGAAGCCAGAGCATTATCTTATGAACATTATGGTACTGTACCTATGTCATACTGAAGACTTAGTTGTAGCTTTGGCCACAGCAAGGCAAGAGCAAATGACGCATAGAAGTGCACATCATAAGTATTGTACATCCTGTACTCATGTCCTTTGGGAGAAAACCATATTGATATTAGATTTTTAAGAACAAACATACATAGAATACTCTTACCATCATATCGTTATTAATTTTCCCATACTTGGCAGCTACATAGACAAAGGTACATGTAATATATGGAGCAAATGTTGGATTTTAGTCTTGAATTATAAATGGTGGCAAACAAATGTGTCTTTTTATCTTTTATAAGGCTTTATTGGTGATTTTCTTTATATTCCCTTTCAATTGGTGAAATATTCCAAAATTTTCACAGTAAATTGAATCAAGCGGGATGCAAATTTTAAACATGAAAAAAGTATGGTTTGAACAAGCAACTTTTTTGATGTTTGCAAATTTATGTCTTTTAGCGCTGCAGAAAAACTGGTCAGATAGATTTCCTTGAAAAACGAGCTCCAACTAAATCAAAATATTTATTTCCAGTCTAACAAATTTTATGGAATTTCACCAGGGGAAAAGGGAGAAAATTCACTGTTAGTTTTGCTTTTCATAATAATGTTGACATCATAAAATATTGAAAAACAGTTTTCCTCTGAACGCACAAAGGTTACTGAAGCTTTCGTCCTCAGCAAAAGTGCGAGAGTAAAACTATAGGGAACCACCTTAACTGAGTCAAATTCAAATTCAAATTGCATAATGTCATTTTCATCCTTAATTAATAGGTCAGTTACACATAATTATGCAATAGATCAGACAGATTCATGTACGTCAAAGACAACCTTCATATACATGTAATATAATACCTTCTAGATATGCAAATCTGCCATATTCTTTAACAAACTCAGGGATAGGAGTCTTGTTATCTGTGACAAGGTCCACATCTAACCAAACTGTTCCACCATCAGCTACAAAGTATAGTTCATTAAAGAGAGCTGACTTGTACCAAGATGGCAATGAACTGCAACAGAAAATAAATTGTAACTAAATAAACAATAAGATTATGAGCTTGAGAATTTTATCAGGTAACAGTTGATGAGACCAAAGGGCAAATCAAGCATCACCATATACAAAACCAGATTGCAGCATTTACAATAGTATGCTAAGAGAAGTCTACTAATTCAAATTACTTGACCTCCTTAGTCCCAAAGTACTGCATTATCCGATTTTGAGTGATTCAACGGCCATCAGGCGCATCAGCCTGGCACATTGCACTGGTTTGTGAAAATAGTTTTTTCACATTAAAAATATCCCAAACCCTCTTCACTAGTGTTTAAATAGCCTGTAACAGCAATTATCTAATTTCTTGTATAAGTGTAATACAGGATTTATTTTAAGCCCTTTTGAAACAAAACAAATTTGTTCTGTTATCGAGGGAAACTCATCTGTTTTGGTGGTTTCTGTGGTTGAAGATCACGCGCGTGATTGGTTATAACACAATAAACATTCCAGACATATTTTAGGTGTTCACAGTTTTCTGAGTTTGACTGTAAATGGCTCACAAATTGGCAAACGTTTCAGATGCTGTGTTTCCAGTAGCCGCTGAGGTCAGGGAGCCAGATCAACTTGTAGAGTACTGTTAAAAAACTTACTCATTTTGTAAGATTGGTCTTTGCCAGGCCTCTATTTTGGACTCCCACTCAGGGTAGCGCATCAGGGCATGACAGCAAAGAGCTTTACCTGCATCACCATGACGACCAAAGAATCGAGTGTAAAACCTTAAACAAATGAAGATGCATGTAACATGACTCAATTGAAATAAGAAGTTATAATCTAGTTCCTAAATATTAATTAGGCAGAATTAAAAAAATTATTTACAAGTGAATTAATCGTCGTGTTGCATTAGGCAACCTCTACTCATCAGTGGCGATTACATTATTTATATTCTAGTCTTTTAAACCTTTTGGTTTTCTTTTGATATATTGAATAACAATTAATCTTGTTAATGGTAATTATGATAACTATAACTTCTACATGTATCTCACTCTTTTTCTCTGTGTAAAAGAAACTGCTTCTCATTTTCCTAACCTTTGGAAAGTTAACTTTATAAAAATCCATTACCTGTAGTGCTTGTTTTTTGATGACCCAAAATGGACAACTGGATTATCCCAACAGAGGGCAAACTCTAGTTTTGTTTTGCTCTTTGATGGTATCTTGGCTGTGGCAGCCACTGCAGCACACAGGGTCTGCTCTGGTTTGGATGGTTCACTGCGTCCTGTATAGCAATAAAATAAGAAATTTCTGTTCTCACACACTGAATGCCATTTGTCTGCTACACAAGAAACAGAGATCTTGAAACTGAGAATACGACAAAAAAGCTGTTGTTCGTCTGGCAAGAAACAGAAAACTGAGTCACAAGACCTAGCGTGACACGTTATATCCTAACTCAGGCCCAGCCCCCACTTCATTGTGTGAGAACCTCATTTTTCCCCTCTTTCACAAGCTCAGCCGGCGAGAAATCCATTACATTGCAAGGGGTAAGCTGAAGCTTAAGTTGTGTACTTACTTGTAACTGTCATGATCATCCATGTCATTTTTTACCTTCGATAATAATCATCTCTTGTCCCAAATTATTTTTAATACTTCACAGATGAGTTAAGTTATAATTTCACTATAAGTTACAATATTGTGCATACAATATATTTAGACATAATAAATACCTGTAGTGGAGTTAAGTTTGCCATCATCCATTAAGTCTTCCCATACTCTTCTGCAGGGAGTCTGTGCATCAAATGCAGTTTTTGTTGTCACGGTGACAACACTCTTTCCAGCCTATGGGTTTAACAGTGAAAACTAATTAATAGGAACCCAGTGGTCTGGTGTTACCATATTGGACTTGAGAGCTGATTGTCAATCATTTGGTCCCAATTTCTGCCCTCACTTAGTGGAGAGTGGAGGGGTGGGGTTTCCTTATAGTTTATTTAAATTGATGAAATAAATGCAGTAATAAATGCATGTATGTACAATACTATATTGTAGTTGTTTGTTCAATTAAGGATAAATAAGATAAAGGGCTACGTAATTCAAGCCAATCCAAGTTAACTATTCTTACTCAACATAACAGTCTTCACTTTAACAAAAATTAAGCACACTTGGTAAACTGTTGTGGAAATTTGATTGCAAAAATGCTCTGGCGTAATTTGTAGTCAACTTGCATCGCATCAATGTCTAGACACAATACCCCTAGTCAGTTTAATTGCTGTTAAATGTAGTTTAACAAAGTTAACAACAGAGAGTAGCTGGTACTTCCGGTCAGCAGTATTTGTATGAAATTGCATGCTGAGTGCTCTTCACCATTAAACCAGCGTGTTCCAGCGTGGCAGTCCCTGGAACGGTCATTTTGGTCTATTCATTGACATCTTTCTGCCTTTTTACACTTTTTTAAAATAATCAAAAGCACATTTTCACGTGTCTGTTGCCTGAAGTGCCCATTGTCCATTTTAGAGTCACACTAAAATGATTGAAGAGGAGCAAGGGACCAACTGCAGGTGTTCATTGAGAGAATTGGAATTGCAATGCCCAAAACACCATAAAAATCACATGAGTACAAGGAAAACTAAGCTGTCACAGTTACCAGTATATAATGTACGTCAAAATTTTGTAGGTCATTTAACCTGATTTTGTGCCTTGGCTGCAATCCCTAATGTGTATGGCTGTGTTGGGTGTTTGTGATGAAGAAGAACTCCTGTCACTTCAGAGGAGACATTGGTTAACACTGAATTACTTTTATCTGCACACTGATCTTCCATGGCACAGTGGCTTCCAATCTTACAAGTGAATGACTCATTATAATGACCACTTGAGCCTTCATTTAGAGTTCCATCACTGTTTTGAAATGTGAACATGATTGCTACTTCAACTTCTTCATCACCATTATTTTCCACTTCCCAGATAAATACAGCAGCAGGAAGACTGGTGTCCTGATTAATACAACCACACAACAAATTGAATTAGATTGGTATAAACAAAGATCTGACGGCCTGTGCCACCCATGCTGTTATGCTGAATTGATTGCCACTTGGAGCTATTCACGGGTAATTATCCCACGGGAGTGGAGGGACAGGATTTACTTTGACTGTTGCATTATCAGGACTCAAATAAAAAACTTGAATTCCAGCTTACCCTTGGGACAAGCCCATTGGGCAAGTGAGAGTGAAAAGCTACTTGCCCAGAAGGAGAATCTACTTCTCCCAGATGACACTTTTTTGGAGCATTGATTATTACGCTTAGTTCAATCTTATGGTGCATTAATTTACATGTATCCAGTAACACATCTTCCATGGTCACTCTGACTATAAGTTTTGGATTAATCTTTGACATCTCTTCTATTTGCGACAGCTTCTTTGAATATATGATTGGTCTTGACTTCTTATTAACCCTTAGACCAATATGTGTAAGGGCTGTGGATGGGAAAAGGGGATCTCAGTGCAACACGTGCCGATGGAAAGAATTCTTCATTCACTGTAGTAACATTGTAGTGTTAGGTATCCTGGCAGGGTAGGTTTACCAAACATATTGGAAACTAGACACTTAGATCTCAGATGTTGGTTATTCATGACAAATCATTACTATAATTAGCAGCACCTAGGTATCAGAAATAAAAAAAATCATTTTATCATTCACAGTCATATGGTGTGCAGCATTGCAATTTTTAATTATAAAAATGTATTACTTACTTTGTAATAATGAGGAAACACAGGTGATACTTGACGGCAAATGAGCCTGATGTTTTGTCCTGGTAAGTAATAAGTTGTCCAAGCACGTGGATATAGGGCATGATATGTGGCATGGGCACCATTAAACCCCCAGTTCCAGCCTTGTAAACTGCGTCCACAAAGGACACCATTTGGACGGTTTGGTGACAATACAGCCTGTATGAAAAGATGGAATTTAAAAGAACCTTAAGCATGGAATTCAAAATATCATTATCTTATAAATCAACAATTTAGTCATTGGTCAAGAATGCTTGTATTGGCACATGGTTATGTACACATGGTTATGTACACAAAAGTATTTTTTTCCTATTTCCCATTACTATATTTGTCTTTCTTTCATTAGACTCGGAACAATCATTTAAGTCACACTTCCAAAACTGGATTTTGGAAACATCTTGGTTACGCAGACACAACTGGATCAGCATGGACCACCTGCTACATACTTTGGAACTTTTTACTATACCCTGGTTTCACAATGGCTAACTAGTAGTCATTGTGAAATGACAGATGGTAGACACAGGGCTCGAAATTGCAACTGATACGGTCACCAATGCGACTACAACTTTTAAATTGGCGACTGAAAGTTTGAGTTTAATCGCCACTTTGGCGACTATGTTCCTCTGATAAATAAAAGATTAAAGGTGAGAAACAATTTCCTAAGTCTCGTTTCTGCTTTTCTGCAAAAGGAAATGTAACTTAAGTCTGTTTACCTTTTCACTAGTAAAAAAACTTGAATCGTGACCTCCAAGATGACATTACAGCGGCTTTTACATGGTGATCATGGGCGCAACATTTTGTTGAAAGGCCACTGATTTACATTGAGAAGAGGAGGTCTGGTACTAAATGGCTATCTGCCATGTTTGATTAATGTTTGATGCCTTCGTATATGCCTTCGCATCTTACAATTTCTTGCATGCGATGTGACAGATGCAGTTGTTCCTGGCTAAAGTAACCCTGAAATGTTCTTATTACTTTGTTCGCTTACCGCCTAAGGTAAGATTGTCATGCAAAGTCTTCCATAGTTTTTTCTTTCGTGTTTTCATGTTTTAAGTCATTCCAGATCGAGTATTTCGGTCTGTTCCACAACTGCAGCCACAATCTACCAGAAGCCGAGCAACAATGCTAATTAAATGAGGCTCTAATCTGAGTTTCTGTTCTTGTACTATCTGGCGACTACATTTTGCATTTGGTGACCATTTTTTCTTCCATAGTCGCCAAAAGGCGACTTGGAATTTTTTTTAATTTCGAGCCCTGTAGACACTTTCCACTAACCTGGTAAGTGGTTCTTCCTTTTTTTCTCACACAAACAATGAACTGAAAATACAACAACATGATGCTTACATGTAGAATGCTTACAAATGTATGTCATGCTCTCTCTTAATTAACTTTTATATAGCAATGCAAAGTTACAATTATTTTATTAAGATGCAATATAGCAATTGAAGGTCTTTGTGCTTGATTATTCATTTCCTTACTTTTACTATATGTTTTGAATGGGAGGCACAGTGGTCTCACAGTTAGTGCGCTTGACTTCAGATCAACCAGTCCGGACATTGTGTTGTAATCTTGGGCAAGATGCTTTACTCTCACGGTGCCAATCTCCACCCAGTTGTGTAATGGGTACTGGTGATTTTAATGCAGGGGGTAAGCCTGCTATGGACTAGTATCCTATCCAGGGGGGAGTGGGGGGGATGGGGGTAGAAATATTCCTAGTCGCTTCATGCTACAGAAACTGGAATAAGCTCTGTCCTGATGGGCCACTTGGCTTGTATTCAGACTTAACCTGTTTTACCTTACTATATTTTAAACAATTGTGAATTTACACATTTGGCCAATTCATTTCAAATTTTGGTACCTTACAAAAAAGGCAGAGGGACAAATTACATTCCCCTGTAGGGTTCCAAGAAAGTAAGACTTGTAAGACATTAAACGGATTATAGTTATAACTACTCTATGTTATCATGCGTGCTATAATGTCAACACCATACAGTACTTCAGTCCTCCAAAGTTCTCCAAAATAGATTTGCTAAAACCAATCAGTTAATTTGCAAGAGATTTTCAAGTGACTGACAGAGAGGCATTTTTTTTTAAGTGTCGTACAAAGTATTACCTGGTTTGCTTCTACATAGGTGTAGTTATACATTCCTGGTGTCAACTGCCATCTGTTAAAATCACCCTTCCATCCTCGTCCAATACTACCACATCCTATTCCACCAAGAGGTACCCCTATAAACGCAATAGAGTAGTAAACATGAACAGATACTTGGGCTTTTTAGCAATCTTCAAGAGTGGCACCACCACAAGTGGAAATTAGATTTGAAGTCTGATCTGTTCATAAGCACAAAGAAATTATCAAGATATGGAAAAAAGAGCGATTCCCTTTTGAATACTGAACACAAGATTCTATCAGAGAAACTGATGAATTTTTTCCTACAAATGAAGCTATGTTGTGATTAAATATTAATTTGTTAGTTTTGTAATAGTGACCTGTACAGGATACCGGCAGATTCTGTGTATACCTAAGGGACTCCCCGATTCGCCAAGAGTGGTATTCTTAATACAACGCTTCTTAGTTCATTATGTTTTTTCCTGTTGTTATATGTTTGCATGACAGTGTTAAGGATAATTTGTATTCTATAATAAGCGTAGATAGGGTTAATTTTCAATTACCTAATGCTTTAGTAAGAATAGATCTTTAGATCTCTCTGGAAAATTATGAATTTACTTCACACCAGAGTTGTCCTTTCTAGAAGAGTTGCCTTGGTTAATTTTTCTGTCACCCTGCTGATAGCGATCAGACAAAACTGACTGGACACAAAACATGTTTCATACACCACCTAGTAAAAAGGTTATTTTAATCATTTCTCTGAATGGACTCCTGACTTCAAAAGACAAGAATCTGTCATACACACAAAAATACTTGTGGAAAATTAGAAATTCAAATATTTGATTCATCACTCTCATTGTCACTGTAAGCAACATGGATGTAGCTTATAATTTGTTACAAGGCCAGTAGCATAAACCAGAACATTAAGAAAGGAGAAAATATAACCAAAGATATTTGTCTTTACCATCTTATTGTAAGGGAACGAAAGTAAATTTAATTAGTCAATACCTTTATTTAGTCTTCAACTGAATCAGTCTGTACAATAATAGAAACAATTGTAACATAAAAGCTGGATGTTGTTAAAAAATGAAACAAAAAAACATCTTTAATATATATACACTGATGCTAACTTTAAGTTTTCAACATTATTTCTTGTGTGAGAAACTCGTGAACAACTAAGAAGAAATTGAGAAAGACACTGTGAATTATCTGCACCTGCCATTTACTATCACACTTATCTCACCTGTCATTCATTTTACAGCATACCTGTCTTATTATTAACCACCACAGGAGATACGTGGAGGAAATATGGGTATTGAAAAGCATGCTTATTCAAAAAGGAACACTTTCTTTTTGACAATAATACAACTAACGGGATTTGAGACAATCTAAGCTCGTAAAATCCACGGCATTGGGGGCGATTGTATAATTTTAACCGTAAAAATTTCGCTAAATAATTACATTAATTATAATCTTATGAATAAGAAATTGACAGGAAACCCTTGACTTTGTGTTTTTCATTTGCCGATTTCCACGATAAAACAAGTATCAGATTTATGAAAATCTTTGACACGATTGAAGGTAAACGCAAGTTAAATCTCTCTTTTAAAAGCCTCGAGTGGCGCGTACTTACAGATGTTGCCGTTAAAATCTTGTCTGTGACAATAACAATAGACATCCGAAAACTGAACCACTTTAAAATTCAACATCAAGGCCACTGCAATAGACCATAGTCACGTCTGCCCGATACAAACGATCATAACCAAATTTTTCCAATACATTATTAGAGCAGTGTCTCCAAACGCTTACAACAGTAATTTTTTTAAAGCTATTTAAGACTTGCTGTAAAAGCTTTCTCAATATTAGCGCAATACTCTGATCTCAGCCGGTTAGCTTACAATCATTAACTATAAGGTTAGACTCACCGTATACTTGACGACAAGGATTTGTGGCGAAAGGGTCAATAAAAGGCACTCTGCCGTTCTTCCTCTCTCTTGAAGCATATTTCATAAATCTGAAATCAAACGAGCGAACATGACAACATTTACGATCTATTCAAGAAAAAAATATAAACAACTCCACATGCAGAGTCGAATAATACCTCCATCCTAGGCCTATTAGCCTTGGTATTTGACTCCATCGGGGGATATAACATGGTTGAGGTTTGTGTGAAAAAGTGTTATCGAGATGTACCCTCCATCCGTATTTCGGAAGTGAACCTTCGTTGTCATCCCCCGAGGAAGAGGCCGCCATTTTCCGCGCGGGCACGACTGTTCGCCAGCGATTCCTTATTTATTTTTCAGCGGAGAACGACGAAGAGCTTCCTCCTTGGTATGGCAATCACTAACTGTCCCATCAACTGTGCCACAATTTTTCGGAAACCCTATATAAAACTAGAAGGGCGAACTAAACATTCTGATAAAAATGTCACCTCAGTATGGGCCCACAGAATTACTCAATGCCTTTAAAAAACATAGTAAAAGTACGGACAACATACTTTAGACCGTGGTGCGTTGCTAAGCAGCCAGTTTACAGACCACCACGCAAAATTCACTCAATAGAGAATTCTGTGCATAATATAGTGCACAAAGAACGTTTTCACTTTGCTGTTAACGGGGATTTGAAAACCGTAACTGGTTGACACAGAACCTATTTTTCACTGAGTCTGTTCAGCTTTATATTAAATGCAAAACGACAAAGAGGGGTAAAAACAACAACAAGAAACCAAGTTGAGTGGGCCGATGAAAGATCATTGGCCTCTCAATGTTATAATTCATGTGTGCAAGCTTCACCACGCACTGACATCATCTTTTTGGAGCGTTTGACAACAGATCACGTACAAGCAGCCAGTGAGATTATTTATAACAGTGGCGGATCCAGAATTTGAGCTAAGGTGGGGGCCCGGTTTTGTTTTACTTGCCCTGCCGGCTTTTCTTCCTTCAGTCATTTCTTCTTTTTTCACTCAGAATAAGGGGGCGGGGGGCCGGGGCCCCCGGGCCTCTCTCCTAGATCCGCCACTGTATAACACCTCGATTATTGTCCAATAGCTGATATCATACCGTAAAATTCCGAAACAGAAATGTAAGCCGCCATTGCCTATGTTCTTGAAAGGACTCTTTTGAGGGGCTTATACATGTATTCGTAAGGGTTTATCAATGATAAAGGAAGCTCTTTTACGTTTCGAATTTGGGTCTTATATCCGCAGGGGCTGATCAAATACATTTCATGGTGATCTCTTAGCTTACGCAATCACAAAACCACAAAATTTATAGAATGATACAAAAATAGAATGATATAAGGTCACTGAAGAACAGAAATAGTTCTCGGACTCGGAGGTTTTCCAAATACTTGTACCACAACGGCGATCTTAATCACAAATTAGACAAATGTTAAACTTTCTAAAGGTTAAAACGATTTTATTAAAGCTTCAACTTCTGAACAAAGTTACAGTGATTATGTCGTCGCGTTGTTCCAGTGCGATTTTTAAATCTTATGTCGACAAAATACTTAACGTCTCTGACCTCTTAGAACCCGCTGTACATATTTTAGCCCATTTGCAATAGGGGCTACTTCGGAGGAAAAGTATTGGATTGGTTGAAATAGCAAAATCCACTTTTCTGGGGTCGAGAAAAGACAAATTCGGTGATCTGGGTGATTTCTATATTTTTTTAGGTTGGCATCTAAATAAAACACAATAAAAACATTTTATTTTAATTTTAACTTATTGTCAATCTTTTGCGCACATTTACGCCTCAACACTCAGGTGGAATTCGTTCCATTTTGTAATAGTAGTGTTTAGGAATCGAACATTGAATTTAAGTCTTTAGAGTGTCCTGTTATTCTACAACTGATCACTTGGAACAGTTTGTTCCATCGTGGAATAGTACTTAAAGTTATATATAAATATTTAACAGTGCAAGCGAATTCTGTTCAATGACTTACAGAAACGGCTAGTTCCTGTAGTTCTAAAGCATTATCCGTTAAATCAGCTTTACTTTATTCACCATCTTTATTCAAGCGTTTCTAAAAAGCTTTGGGTTTCCAGATAAAAATTACTTGCTTGTCGGAGTTTTCATCTAGATCTTTTGGAAATACTCAAAGACAGAATTTGAAACAAGCCGTACGAAAGTAATAAATGGCGATGGCAGCACGTAAAGACTATTATTATATCATGAAGAGGTGATTCATATTTGCGGCAGTACAATCGGAAATCTCGATTTCTCGAACCCTCAATTTTTCGAACCTCCCGACAGCTCGAACTAAAAGTCGTTCCCTCTCCTCAACCGAACAGTGTAATATTACCCACGATTTCTCGAGCTCTCCAAATTTTCGAACCAATTTTCGTTTCTGTTGGAGGTTCGAAAAAACGGGATTCCACTCTAAGCTACTGTAATTCGTCGGTCAGGTAAATAAGTAACCTTCCATCGTGTTTAAATAAAGGGTATGTATGTATGTATGTAAAGAAATTAAAAGTAACTCTTTATTTACATAACTAATAAGTTTCTTGATAAGTTGAATCACGTCAACTTAATTTACAAGTCAGCCTGCTCATGTGTAAATGTGAGTGTTCCCTCAGCCAATCAATGTGTTCATGGACTCAAGAAATCGCAGTTTCTGAGCAAATTGAGATAGCAAAAAAAGTAATAGTGGTCCAAATAATTTCAAACGCGTTTCATTTAATGGAAAACACCCGGGAATGTCTCAAGATCTTCCAGAGGGTCGAATTCCTGTATCATAAACCGCCACGTTTGGCATCCATTCTTGCCACGAAGATTAGTTAATCGTTCAAAATCGTGGGTATATCCTCCAACAACCAAATAATATTTGTTGCAGTGCTCAAAATAAATAGGTGGACTGGGAATAGCAGTCATCTGCTTCCAACAATCTTCACCTTTACAGACAGAAAGTTGTTTTTTTCCCCAGAATGGTCAATTTACGGGAGCCTATGAATGGTTGGACAGCGCAAACTCGAAAACCTTGAGGTTCCGCCTATCGGATCCCATTTCAAAGGATGTTTTTTTACCACTCAAATACATGATGAACACTCCGCCAGTGGAAAAATTCCACGTTGATTTGGTGGCAACGTGTTCATAGGAGGAGTATGGTGGCACATCTTGACGGAATTTCAACCCGTTCACTTGGCTTCCTACTGTGCCACACACCACTTCGACAGGAACATGAGAATGATTGATGAGTTGGAAGTAATGATTGTCTCCCTTAGTTTGAGGTTGAGGGTAACGGTGGATTGTTACTTTAGGTCCACAAAATCCAAATAGCCCCACAAAGGTTTTCTGAAGTCTTGGCATTCCTAAGCCTTCTCTGAACCCTTCGATAATATCATAAGCAGGGAGATGGCTGCACTTGCCAAAGTGACGAATGGTCACCACTTTACGTAAGTCATCTTCAGTGGGAGGTTCACCATTATATGTAGCTTTTGTGAACACAGAGCTCAGTCTCAAGTATTTCTCTTCTGAGAGGAATCCAAGTTTTTCGTGAGCGTCCTGAATTTGAGTATCCAGTAAGCTCTTGATCATCTTTGTCTCGCGACCAGTTGATTGAAAAGTTGCCAGAATGTTTGTAAGCAAAAGGAACAGCGCTGTTTGCGCGTTACAATAAATAGCCATCGATGTGAGGGAGTTGTTTACCTCCTCTTCTTTGCTACCCTCATTAAGGCCTTTCAGAAAGTTGTAAGCGACCTCACCAATGAACTGAGGTAAATCTGTCTCGTAGAGGACTTTGTCAGGTATTTCAATGTGATTCGATGCCCTCTGAAGTTCTTTCAAATTGGCGTTCATGTTCTTGATACGAGATTTCAGCCCTTCAAAGGTCTGTCGTTTTAACTCCTGATTAAACTTCAGTAGCTCTGCATGAACTATATCTGTAAACACTGTCACCAAATCGGGCTCCTTAGGAGAACTGGCAGAGAGAATTGATGCAAGTATACCGCAGATGGCCACGGCAGCAGCTCCGTACGGTCCACCAACCACAACAGCCACAGATGATGCAATGCTGAGACATCCTTTCATGACCTGTGCTGGGTTTCCGCTGCTCAGACCTTCCAAGGAATCAACACATGTTTCAATGACACTCCCAATTTTAGCGATTTTGTTCTCCTTGGACTGTCGCTTTGCATTTCTCTTCTCGCCTTCCACCCAAGAAAGGATGCTTTGGATGTTTCTTGACATGTCGGGAGCACTGGTTCTTCGAATACTTGCATAGTTGTTGACATTCGCCTCAAACTTAACAAGCGAAGCATTTAAGTTTTGAACATGAAAGGTTGCCATTGTAAAACAGCAAATGTATAAGAATGCCGGTTCTGAGCGATATCTTTCGTATTAGAAGAAATTAAACGATTGCGTGTCGTCTTCCTGTGTTCTTTCTTGTAATGAATTCGGCTCGTTTTTCCTGTTTGTGACAATTTGTATATAGTATATATGGCCACTTCACCCTCTGATGCTCCTCTTGACAAAACTAATGCGTAGACACGCTTATTGAAGTCGTCATGCGGGATGGTTTTAAAATTGACAACAGGATGCGGATGTTTGATATGTTTCGCGGAGAACTGCGACTCTAATCGGGCGGGATTGGCGGGGCGGGATGGTGGGATCGAGCCAAAAATAGTGGCGGGATGCGGGATTGAAAAAACATTTGTTGGACCCTCCTACAGATGACACTGAGTTGATGAAACGCAAACAAATTATCAAACTCGGCCAAATACTTTATTGCACAAACACTAAGAACAAAAAAAGTGATACCTTTGAAAGGTACGGTCTTAAAATGAATTATATTTCTCGAAGTATGAGAGCAGAATTTAACTCGCTTTTAATAGCTTTTTATTGTCTCCTTCAATACATATTTTGAACTAACTCCAGCAGTTGAATCAACTGGGCAACGGTAGTTCTATAAATGCATTCAGCGGGAAATCAGTACGCACTACGTGTGCATGCTTGCTACCTCAGTATGGAAACTGGAAACAAAATACAATCAAGAAGATCCTTTTTCTGTTTCAATGTGGTTCGCCATAACCTGCCGCAATGACTGATGATTATTAAACAGCGGCCAACATCTAGAACAAAACGGCAGTTACTTGCCGGAAAAGATACCTGTCAACTGGTATTTCTCTTTCTGTGATAAATTTTCTCTGATCGCCTCTTAATACAAATCAATTACTGTACTTCAAAAGAACAATATATGACAACAAGAGGAAAAACGAATAAGTTACAGGAGCTGGATGTTACGTGAAGCATGTGGTTTCGAAATCTTTTAACCAGGGATGCTCCAGTGCTTCAGAAAGACTGATTCTTTCTCTAACACTAGCTGTCAGCATTTTCTTTATCAGGTCTTTTATCTGTGAAAGAAAAGAAAAACAAACAGCATGAGCGCGGACAGTCTGGAGAAAATAATATTACATGTAATCCATTAGGTGTGAAGAAAATTGGCACCAATTTTAAGCTGTGTTACCTGAGCGGAGAGTGTAGAAGCCGTGATGGGATATTCCAGTTTACCAGAGGTTGTTTCCTCCAAAAGCTGTTTAGGATTAGAGTCATCAAACGGGAAACGGCCACACACTATGGTATACAGAACTACACCGAGACTCCACACATCACTAGCCAAGCCATCGTATGGAATACCTAACACGAGATACGAAGAGAGAGCTGTTATACTACAACGAGTGGCATTTGCCGTTCAAGATTTTACTGTATCGATGCATTCAATGGAACCTTCACATTGAGATACGTATGAGCACCAAAACGGCTTTAAAATATCTAGTTCCCAGAGCCCTCGCTCCGATTTGTGGCCCGTGCAGTGTAGGCTCTTGGAACAAGATTATAATAACATGTGATGATCTTGCGCGGGCGTGATACTTGTACTAGTATTTTGGTCTGAAAGTTTCCACTCTTTCTTCAGGACTTCTTTCATTATGTAACGTTATATGACCTCCAATTGACCCAACGAAACAGGACTCACAGTTGTCAACAGCTAATGAGTCACTTTTGGGTTAGAAGAACGGCCAAACCGTAAGAAAGCTGCCCAGTCAGATCAGCAAGCTCATTCTTTAGTGAACCCTTAACAGTATTCGTAAGATTGCTACTGACATCAGTCACCAAAATCTGTCTTACTAAAGATCCTTGTACAGTTACGAACATAACGAAGTATCGGAAGATTTTCGAGTGGGCTAAACTGTTTACAACCACCTGTTCTGATTCAAACTTACAGATGTTTCCAAAAACTCTCAGTTTTCAAGACTTTCCCGTAATCTGCTTTAAATAAGTGATCCGATTCGAAACATATCAGTTTGTTTTAATCAAAACCGGCGGTTATGTCGTTACTTGCGAGGTACATTCCTCTGGTTGCAAGTGACGACTATGTCTCCCCGTAGTAATTTATTTTGGAAAAATCGGTCACACGGGCAAAATAAAGTTTCCCACAGGTGGCTTGTCATCAAATTACGCTTCCAGAGAGCAAAAGGCTGTAGTCTGATTACAGCTAGTATCTCCACCAAAATGACATTGTGTCGGTGTACTGAATTCTCCATATAGTACTACAACAGTTATAAAAAGGTCAGTTAGGAGAATCTGTTTTTATCATTACCTTGAAGTATCTCAGGTGCCACGTACGCGTATGAACCACAAAACGTTCTACTTCGCGCTCTTTGATCCTCTCTGTGGCCTATGTAACGAGCGAAGCCGAAGTCTGTTACAATAGGCTGGTTGTCCTCAGAAAGTAGAATGTTTTCAAGTTTGAGATCTCGGTGAGTCACTCCTGAAGAGAAAATATACAAGACTCAGATTCAGATTTTAATTCAAAAACAATAATTCTCAGTTTCCAGGTTTCTTGTAAAGTTAATGTGGATGAGCATAAATGCCACTGTTTTGAGGGTTCTTCGCTTTCTGAAGAAATGTGATGTTGACATTAAAGCTTGTGACATTATGTGTAGACCACAGTGCAGGTCTGTGAAGTGTCGATAAAAATAAATCAATGTTCCACACACCTCACACCATGCATGTACTAATTATTTTATATTTTATATATTACCCTTTGATTATCAATGAGTATTAATTGATTTTCGACATGTAAATATATATTTTAGAAAATAACGTCAGGATTCGCGAGGGAACGGTAGCTTTTTGGAAATTAAATGGTGGGCAGCTTGCGTATACGACGACGACGGCGAGGACGAGGCCTATAAAAAGTGTGTATATATTTTACTTCGGAATTTCGCATTTATTTAGATCCAACAACAACAACAACAATTTATTTCAGTGTTCCCATATAAGTACATGGTATTACCTAAAATATAATACAACTAAAATAATGCAACTAAATTACAGTAACAGTATTCTTCCTGTAATCCATGCATGAATGGATGTAGGCAGAAAGTCTACAGATATAGGGGTCAACATTATTGAAAATAAAAATAATTTTTGATCCACCATCTAAAACATCAAAATAATAGTATTTTCTATTTATGTCTTCTTATGATTTCAAGCGTAAATTGTCGTAAAAGTGACAGGAAAGTACAAAATGCAATTCATTTTCAACTTCATTCAAATGACAGAAAGGACAAATTATAAGATTTTCTGAGGTTTTGGGAACTGTATGTCTACCAGTTTCAATCCGTAATCGATGATTTCCGAGGCGAAATTTATTTACCGCTTTTTTACGTGAGGTGTTTTTTATTGTATTCAAAAAATCAGCTTTATGACGATCAGTTTTGAACATCGAGTAAAAAAATTAAATTCTTGTTATGTTTTTTCAAGTTCAATTGTTGTTGAGTCATTTTTTTGTTGAACTTTTTGTCGAACTTGAGAAATAAATAACAGGGAGTCACTTTCAGTTTAGCCTGAATTTCAGCCGCCTCCTCCGCTCGCTAAGTCACTCGGGGAGAGTGACTTAGCGAGCGGAGGAGGCGGCTGAAATTTAGGCTATTTTCAGTTAAGTTTCATATGTTTAGATTTGATTTTTACAGAGGTCGGTTACTTTTAGCATAATGCTTTTCTTGTTTTTGTCAACCAGGTTCTTTGACATTTGTAAACATTGTTTTGCAATACTGTCTTCTGATTGGTTTTCTAGGTGAATCCAAAATTTCTTAACGCACTTAAGTCGGTTATTTCTTTTAAAGGCAACCGCGCAAGTTCATTTCTACAGGCTGCATTTGAACATTGCTCATTTTAAAACACCTAGAACTTGTTTAGTGGATGGCTGGACTTGGTTGATTTCAGCGCTCCAAATCCAAGCTTTTATCCCTGCTCGGGGCTCGAAAATGGCATATTTTTAATTTTTTAAGTTTTGCGTTGTCGGAAACGCTCAGATCGCACTCTAGTTTTCGGCCACATTTTTTGCTCAAAATGGACACGGGGCACAAATCCCAGTGTTTTTTCCCTAAACGAATAACAAAAATAGGTCCGCAGTGCGTGCATGTGTGGCTTACAAGTTATACTTGTAATTAGGATAAAACTGAATTATCATGAAAAAATGAAAGAACTACTAACATTTTCAACTCAAAAGGTCAGTGATCGATAGTATAAGGTGAAAATATGAGATATTTTAGAGAATAGGGTGCTATTACAGAGAATCACAAAGTGTAGTGTGTTCGTGTAGGGCTTCCAATTATTTAGTTTTATCGTACTAGTAGTTACGATCTCAAAACTGAATATGGAACACAGCGTAAAATTCAAAATAGAAATTTTAAAAATTAACAGTCGGGGTTCACGTTCTCCAGACAACGCAGAATCTGGCCATTTTACGATGTTGTTTTGCAGAGGACGAAAAAGAAATGTACCAAGAATTATGATAACGCACCTGCACAGCTACTGTTCTGCTCATCATCAGAAGAAAAACGGAACTGTCCGTTTTTCTTGTGCTTATGCTTATGCTTATGTTGAGCGCGTTACTAGTGAAAACTGCACAAGGCAAATAAGTGGGTTCGGTCTTCTTATGTTTCTGCTTATGCTTATGTTTATGTCGCGGCTATTTTCACTTGTGCTTATGCTTATGACGGTGCTTGTGCTTATGCTCTAGTGAAAACCAGCCTTTAGCGACGTTCCCGTTGCCGTTGCCGTTGTGGTTTTCTTAAGCTCCCCATTTTTCCTGACAGTAGCTATGAACGAGTTTCTTATTATGATTAGCTCGTCAGACAACAGCCATTTACATTCCGCTTTAATAAGTATGTATTTGAGTTAGTTTTTTAATACATGTACGCACCCTTTCTGTGGCAGTAAAGAACACCGTCTACGATCGATTTGAACATAACTCTGGCCTCGTCCTCTCCCAGTTTGGATCGCTCTCGTAACAAAGAAAGAAGATCACCTTTTGGAGCCAATTCCATGACAATGAAGAAATGATCAGCTCCTTCAATCAGGTCGTAAACTCGGATCACATTATCGTGGTTCAGCCATCTCAGAATTTCTACTTCTCTCTTTAGGAATCTGTCATTTATCCCTTTTCCGCTCTTTAAGAAATAAAAAAAAATAACAGCTTCATGGTAAGCATTGTCGTATAACGGCCTAGCAAGAAAACACTTTGTAAATGACCTGAAACACTTGCACCCGGCAAAGGCTAACAATAAGAACAGCAATAGAATTAATCTTCCGCAGGCAGGGCGAGAAAGCTAATCCCGCTATAAGCCTTATTTGCTAAGTTATCCGTCTCCCGGGCTTAGACATCCAAGGTGGGTCTAGGAACAGCTGACTCTGTGACGCAGATTTTGCTGGATACTATCAGTCTAAAAATAACGTGAGTGATTAGCTTAGGAATAATTAAGGCTTATAGAGCGGTTTTCAGTTGAGTGTCAAAAGTAATTAGACTATTACTTTGGTTTTGGTTTTGGTTTTACTACAGTTTGAGATTAGCTGAGAAGTGTAATTGGTAAGTAATCGGTTTTGGTTTTGGTTTTACGACACTAAATTGAAAACCGCTCTAAGGAGTAATAACTCTCTAGACTTTTTTTACTCTCTTGTTTTTTACTGATGCTCCTTAATGGCGCAACGACAGCTGCACATAGTCTGATAAACAAGAACAAGACGATAACAAGACGGGACGAGTTGGTGAATTAGAAGTTTATTTAAGTCCGGACAGCTGACAAAGTTTCTGAAGTTTCATAGCCTCACCCTACGTATAGTTCATTCGGTCCCAGAGAAACTAGAATTTATATAGTGTCTATCTTTAAAGTAGGGATACTAAGCTGTCTGTGTGCCCTTAATGTTCCCAGCGATTTGGAAAGGTTGGAATGTATTTTCGAATCTCGAATGTTAATATGTTAGAATGGAGGGAAATCCAGTTAAGTAAGTAAGTCAGTAAGTAAGTAAGTTTATTCAAGTGTCAGGCTAAAATTAAATAACAACAATAAAACCACTAAATGGGGACACTTTAACATAAAAAATTAAAATAACAAGAAATTAATATATGTTTTAAAACAGCTAATAAAAAATATTTACGATATAAAAATATAAATAAATTCAAAATTCAGAAGATATATAAGATAAAAGTACATAAAAGACATCAAGAAGATCAAAAAGTGCAATTACTACCATAACTATCAGTCAAATATATCCAAGTCAAGTTTGCGAATGTTTTTCTAATATCCCTTGGTATAAGATTCCATAACTTAGGCCTAGTTCATCTTCGCGTGGCCTTTTCCCTCTCGAAGTTAGCTTATAATTGGGTCGTGAC